CTGAAGGGGTTAAAGGGTTAAAGGGGCTAAAGGGATTCGGCACCGAAGGGGTTAAGGGGGTCCTGTTTAGGTGGGATTTGGGATTGAAGGGGTTAAAGGAGTCCTGTTCAGGTGAGAGCCAGGAGGGAAGGGGTTAAAGGGGTTGGCGCTGAAGGGGTTAAAAGGGTTGGGACTGAAGGGGTTAAAGGAGCCCTGTTCAGGTTCAGGCTGGCACTGAAGGGGTTAAAGGGTTCAAAGGGCTAAAGGGATTTGGCACCAAAGGGGTTAAGGGGGTTGGTACTGAAGGGGTTAAAGGGGCCCTGTTCAGGTGAGAGCGGCACTGAAGGGGTTAAAGGGGTAAAGGGACCGGGATTGAAGGGGTTAAAGGGGTCCTGTTCAGGTGAGAGCCAGGAGGGAAGGGGTTAAAGGGGTTGGCGCTGAAGGGGTTAAAAGGGTTGGGACTGAAGGGGTTAAAGGGGCCCTGTTGAGGTTCAGGCTGGCACTGAAGGGGTTAAAGGGTTAAAGGGGCTAAAGGCATTCGGCACCGAAGGGGTTAAGGGGGTCCTGTTTAGGTGGGATTTGGGATTGAAGGGGTTAAGGGGGTCCTGTTCAGGTTCAGGCTGGCACTGAAGGGGTTAAAGGGTTAAAGGGGCTAAAGGGATTCGGCACCGAAGGGGTTAAGGGGGTCCTGTTTAGGTGATAACGGCACTGAAGGGGTTAAAGAGGTTGGCACTGAAGGGGTTAAAAGGGCTAAAGGTATTTGGCACTGAAGGGGTTAAGGGGCTCTGTTGATGTTCAGGCTGGCATTGAAGGGGTTAAAGGGGCCCTGTTCAGGTGAGAGCGGCGCTGAAGGGGTTAAGGGGGTTGGGAGGGAAGGGGTTAAAGGGTTGGCACTGAAGGGGTTAAAGGGGTCCTGTTCAGGTGGGATTTGGCACTGAGAGGGTTAATGGGATTGGCACTGAAGGGGTTAAAAGGGCCCTGTTGAGGTTCAGGCTGGCACTGAAGGGGTTAAAGGGTTAAAGGGGTTGGGATTGAAAGGGTTAAAGGGGTCCTGTTCAGGTGGGATTTGGGAGGGAAAGGGTTAAAATATTAAAGGGGCCCTGTTGAGGTTCAGGCTGGCGCTGAAGGGGTTAAAGGGTTCCAAGGGCTAAAGGAATTCGGCACCGAAGGGGTTAAGGGGGGGGGGGTCCTGGGATTGGGGATTTTTGGGAAAAGGGGGAATTTTTTGGGGGAGAATCCCGGGAAAAAGGGGAATTTCGGGAAGGGAAACCATGGAAAAAGGGGGAATTTTGGGAAGGGAGAATCCCCGGGAACGCTGATTTGGGGGGAAAACGGGAATTTTTGGGGGGAATCCTTGGAAAGGCGGGATTTTTGGGAAGTAGAATTCACGGAAAAAAAGATTTTTGGGAAGGGAGAATCCCCGGGAACCGGGATTTGGGGGGAAAACGGGAATTTTGGGGGAGAATCCGCAGAAAAGAGGATTTTTGGGAAGGAAAAAAACCCTGGGAATGGGGATTTTTGGGGGGAAAACGGGAATTTTTGGGGGGAATCCTTGGAAAGGCGGGATTTTTGGGAAGTAGAATTCACGGAAAAAAAGATTTTTGGGAAGGGAGAATCCCCAGGAAGGAAAATTCTTGGAAAAAAGGAAAATTTTGGGAAGGGGATCCACAGGAAAGAGAATTTTTGGGAAGGGAGAATCCTCGGGAAGGAAAATTCATGGAAAAAAGGAAAATTTTGGGAGAAGGATTCACAGAAAAGAGGATTTTTAGGGAAAAAAAACCCTTGGGAATGGGGATTTTTGGGGGGAAAACGGGAATTTTTGGGGGGAAAATGGGAATTTTTGGGGGAGAATCCATGGAAAAGAGGATTTTTGGGAAGGAAAAACCCCTGGGAATGGGGATTTTTGGGGGGAAAACGGGAAATTTTGGGGGGAAAACGGGAAATTTTGGGGAGAATCCTTGGAAAGGCGGGATTTTTGGGAAGTAGAATTCACGGAAAAAAAGATTTTTGGGAAGGGAGAATCCCCGGGAAGGAAAATTCTTGGAAAAAAGACAAATTTTGGGAAGGGGATCCACGGAAAGGGGGATTTTTGGGGCAGAATCCGTGGAAATTTTGGGGGATTTTTGGGAGAGAGATCCGTGGAAAAAGAAAATTTTTGGGAAGGGAGAATCCCTGGGAAGGAAAATCCTTGGAAAAAGGGAAATTTTGGGAAGGGGATCCACAGGAAAGAGAATTTTTGGGAAGAGACGAATCCACGGGAAACAAAATTTTGGAAGAAAATAATCCGCAGGAAGGAAAAAAGGATTTTTGGGGAGCAACAGCCTCCCAAAAAATTCAGGAAAGTGGGGATTTCTGGGGCAGGGCGGCGGCGGGGGCGGAATTCCCGAGGATTGTTCCGGATTTTCCCGCAGGATTTTCATCATCTGGGCCATCTCCAGCTGGTTCCGGAGAGCGCCGGCGCCGCAGGAGCCCAGCGCGAGCGGCGGCAGCGCCCGCAGCCCCAGCAGGAACCTCTTCCCCAAGGACACCCTGATGGTCGGACGGGATTGGGATTGGGATTGGGATTGGGATTGGGATTGGGATTGGGATTGGGATTGGGATTGGGATTGGGATTGGGATTGGGATTGGGATTGGGATTGGGATTGGGATTGGGATTGGGATTGGGATTGGGATTGGGATTGGGATTGGGATTGGGATTGGGATTGGGATTTGGGATCAGAGCCGGGATTAGAGCTGGGATCAGAGCCAGGATCAGAGCCGGGATCAGCCCCGCAGCCCCAGCAGGAACCTCTTCCCCAAGGACACCCTGATGGTCGGACGGGAACGGGATTGGGATTGGGATTGGGATTGGGATTGGGATCGGGATTGGGATTGGGATTGGGATTTGGGATTGGGATCAGAGCCGGAATCAGGGCTGGGATCAGAGCCGGGATCAGGGCCGGGATCAGCCCCGCAGCCCCAGCAGGAACCTCTGCCCCAAGGACACCCTGATGGTCAGCCGGGAACGGGATTGGGATTGGGATTGGGATTGGGATT